CATTGACACAGCAACACCAAACGTTTCCCAGGATGTCAACCTAAATACTACCGTGGTTTTGATGCCTTCATATCCTCAGGACACCAAACATTAGACGTCTTTGTGCCAGATTCATTGTGCATGAACAATTTTCGTGTCAACACAGCTACCCGACATTAACGTGTTATTTTCATATTCATATGAGACATTATCTGATATATAGATATTATATAGGTCTTATAAGGTAAATGCTGTAATTTTCTTTGGCAAAGTGGGAAGGCGAAGAACCTTCAAATAAATTGGAATAGTAGGGAATGAGTTCTTTTTTTCAGATCAAAAACAGAATCAGAAACTTCAATTCATGATAACTAGCCTTTACTTTATTTATCGAGGGTTAACACAGAACAGTAGACATCACCTAACAAACTTGTGGCCCTCAGTTAGATAAATCCAAAAATGCAATATTTTATAATACTAAATAGATAAGAATTCTAAAAACTTAATAACTCTAACAAACATAACTAAAAAAACATCAGAAACAATAAACACAAATAAAACAAAACACAAACTGATAAGACAGACTAAACAGTAAATAAAACTGATTAAGAGAAATTAAACTGCGGCAATAACTATTGGTTCTCCAAAAAAACACGCTTATTTAAAAGATTGAACAGATGGTTTTCTTCTTAGGTCAATAGTTAACTGCAAAAGACTTTCCACCTTTCCAATTTTCTTTTATATCGATGGTAAATAAAGTTAAGACTGCTATACCAAGTTGACCTTAAATGTCTATCACTATTAAGAACCAAACTGCTAGGTAAAAACTCTGGAGCGTCATTGTTGATTCTTTCGTATGCCAATGCACTCTTAAAAACTTTCGCTTCCTCATAGACTGGAATTCAGCAAAGCTTATCAAATAGTGGAACCGGTGGACAAAATGGTCCCGCGTCCAATATAATCGTGGCCGCCCTTTTCTGCAGCCTCTGTAGATCTCTGTCTCTTTCCTTTACTACAACGTGCTAGCCACGCAGCATTTACGTAGTTAAAAACTTACCTGATTGTGGTATTGCAGTACAAAAGACGCTGCTTAGTTGGTAAAACGGTTTCAATTTTGTTAACTTCGCTTTCGATTTCGAATTCGAAATGGTTTGAAAGTGGACGTTAACCCATCCTTATCGACTGAATTATTGAGGGTTGATTTCTTCTGAAAATACTT